TATTTTGTTCACAAAAAATCCACTGAATTCAATATGATAATACAAATTGAAAAAAAAATTGACAAAAAAAAAAAGAATAACAAATTGAAAAAGTCTTCAACTTTTTCGCTGATTTTTTACAGCAAATGTTTTAAGATCCTTCCTTACAAAGTTTGTCAATAGAATGTACTATTACTTTAAAATTCGATTCCATTGAAAATGTTTTTTTTTTGATTTTTGCAATGAGATCTCTTTTTCATGATTTTTCAGCGATTTAGAAAAAGTAATTATCTTTTAACTTTGGTGTGACCGCGTTAAATTATTTCGATATCATCAATTCCGTTTCGCCACCACATAATTCGCTACTACACTTCCATGTAACCCGCCATCAATTTCAGTTCTCAAGAAATCAAGTCAATTAAATAAATTGGTATAAATATTCGAATTCAAAAATAAAATATAAAAAAACACTACAAATGTACATTAGAAAAAAGTAAGTCAAAATGGAAAAAAATCATGCAAAATAAAACATTACTATTGTACATTTGAAAAGTCAAAATGAAAATGTTAATATATCACATTTTTACGTGATTTTTTTTGTATATTATCCTTTTCGGATAGGAGACAATTCCGAATTTGTATGAATCATTAAAATCAGTTCAGCGGTTCTTAAGTTATAAGCGTAGTAACTAACACAACTTTCATTTATATATATAGAAGATAGATATATAAATGAAAGTTGTGTTAGTTACTACGCTTATAACTTAAGAACCGCTGAACTGATTTTAATGATTCATACAAATTCGGAATTGTCTCTTATCCGAAAAGGATAATATCCAAAAAAATCGCGTAAAAATGTGATATGTTAACATTTTCATTTTGACTTTTGAAATGTACAATAGTAATGTTTTATTTAGCATTATTTTTTTCCATTTTGACTTACTTTTTCTAATGTACATTTGTAGCGTTTTTTATATTTTATTTTTGAATTCGAATATTAATACCAATTTATTTAATTGACTTGATTTCTTGAGAACTGAAATTGATGGCGGGTTACATGGAAGTGTAGTACCGAATTATGTGGTGGGGAAACGGAATAGATGATACCGAAATAATTTAATGCGGTCACACCAAAGTTAAAAGATAATTACTTTTTTAAAATCGTTAAAAAATCACGAAAAAAGAGATCTCAAAATGGGAAAATATCGAAAAAAAAATTGCCAATGGAATTGAATTTTAAAATAAAAGTACATTCTATTGACAAACTTTGTAAGGATCTTTAAACAGTTGCTGTAAAAAATCATTTTTTCAATTTGTTATTCTTCTTTTGTCAATTTTTTTCAATTTGTAATATCATATTGAATTCAGTGGATTTTTTGTGAACAAAATAAAGAATAATTTTTCTCTATATACAATTTTTCACCAAAAAAAAATGAAATAAGTGCGAAATACAATGGTAACTGACATCTGACCTTTCAACTCCAGGGCCTACATCGTGCTTCAGCTGGAAAATTCTTAGACATTTAAACAAACAAAAATGACCGAAAAAGACTAATGGGGCTTATTTCAAAGCGTGGCCCTACTTCCTTCATGTGACAATAATCCGTCCAATGAGAGCTCAAAATGCAAAATTTTTTGGGAGTACAATCAGTAAAATTCCAAATATAAAGGTTGCAAAATAGTAGAGCGAATTTGACTTTTAGTAAGAAAAGGATTTCTATCCTTCCAACAATTCTTCCTGAACATTTAAGATACCTTAAATCGCATTTGCAGGTCATGATATCGATCATAAATAACCATCGTATGATTTAAGCCATTTTTGGAGTCTTCGCCACTTTCTTCTATTTTTGGCCCTTATTTGGCATCTTTGTTTCTAAGGGGGTAGAGAACCGGTTCGCGGAGTAGGGCCCATATTCTTGACCACTAAAAAATTGTATTTATGCTACCCTGGGGTAAGGAACCATCGTACAGATAATTGTCACATAGAAATTTATTCATGTAAAGTCCCCACATTGGAGTATCCCCAAGTCCACTTTCACATCTAATGTGTGGTCTGAAAAGAAAAATTTGTATTCTATTGAATTTGTAACCCCCAAGAGAATATTGGTTGGGAACGTAGATTTGGGATATACATCTATATGAAATAAATTGTGAAAACATGAACAAATTACAAATATAAAAAAGTAGCACGGAACCGAATATTTGTTGAATCGTCATTGAATTATACTATGATGAAAAATATGGACTTTATGGGGTCTCCAATTTACAATTTAAATGACAAATAAAATTAGTTCCCATATTACGGTAATGGGTGTAAAATAGTAATTATATTTGACTATTCTGAAATCAGTCTGGCCTCAATTATGAGGTGGATAAAACTATTTTTACTTAAATCACGTGATTTTTTTCAGTTTGACATGCTATGTTTTTCGATTTGGCCTCTATTTGTCATCTTGGTTTATAAGGGGTGAAGAAAGTTTTCAATGTATGTCGATGTTTCGCATTTTACCATATTTCAAAGGATTTGGCTAAAAATGTGTTTTTGAGGGTGAAAATCTTACACAAAAATTTCAACATATCTATAAATTTTAACATTTTCTCCATGTAATAGTACCCCATCAAGTCCACCTTTTGGCGGACTAACAGACCGACATGGTAAGAGGGACTTATGAGGACTCTAATGCACAATCTGAGGTGCTAATGGGTTTAAAAAAGTAATTAACTTTGGCTATTATTAAATCAATTAGCCCTCAATTATGAGGTGTACAAAGTACAGTAAATTCCAAATTACTGTACGTGAACATTTATAACATTCATATCTTTGAATAATTATGTTTTGACATATATGCATAATAGACAAAAACTACGGGCCTGCAACGCGGACCGGGCCAGCTAGTATATATATAGATAGATAGATAATCAGCATAAAATTCTGAGTCGATTAAACGATGTCCGTCTGTCTGTCCGTCTGTCTGTTGAAATCACGATACAGCCCACATTATTTGACGTAGAGCGCCAACATTTAGCAGAGCAATTTGTATTGTGTCTAGGATGGTTGGTATTGAAAATGAGATATATCGGTCCACTTTTTGGTATAGCCCCCATATAAAGGTACCTCCCGAGATTCGGTATTTTGATGATTTTAGCCACATTTTTCAATGGAATTGTCTGAAAATTCTTATTTGTAGGTCATAATGGGTCCTAGTTCGTGTGGCTAAACATTGTATGTATAGGTCCACGTTTTGGTATAGCCCCCATATAAAGGTACCTCCCGATATTCAGTATTTTATTTTTTTGCCACATTTTTTCACGGATTTGTCTATAAATTGGTATTCGTTGGTCATAATGGGTTCCAGCTCCGGTGGCGAAACATTGCATGTATGGGTCCATGATTTGGTATAGCCCCCATATAACGGTACCTCCCGATATTCGGTATTTTGATGGTTTTTGCCACATTTTTTCACTGATTTGTCTAAATATTGGTATTTGTGGGTCATAATGGGTCCTAGTTCGTGTGGCGAAACATTATATGTATAGGTCCTCGTTTTGGTATAGCCCCCATATAACGGTACCTCCCGATATTCGGTAATTTGATGATTTTTGCCACATTTTTTCAAGGGTTTGTCTGAAAATTGGTATTTGTAGGTCATAATGGGTTCTAGCTTCTTTGGCGAAAAATTGTATGTGTAGGCCACGATTTGGTATAGCCCCAATATAACGGTACCTGCCGATATTCGGCATTTTAATGGTTTTTGCCACATTTCTTCTAATGTTTACTTTGCCCTAAGGTGAAGGGTATTAAAAGTTTGGCCCGGCCGAATTTAATGTTTTTTTACTTGTTTTTTAAAGAAATAAGGGTCGATGATTCCGCCAGCCAAAAGAATGCACAGACAGTACATTTATCGTGATGCATTGATCATTTTTGAACGGAGCAGATTAACTTTGCGGTAAATTTGCTTGTTGACATATTCATTTAACCAAAAATGTGGCTCATGACAGAAAAGAATTTTGCGGCAAAAAAGCGGAATTTCGTCCAATTGAAAGGCGAACAATTACTGAATTCATGGCTGATAGTGTGGCTCGCAAAAAATATTCTATATATATTTTGCGGGATCTAATATGCTTATTTCGAGGAGTTAATGCTAGAATACATAAAACGCTTTTTTTGAGAGTCTTAAATCACTGGATGGCTTCTTCGGAAAAGAACAAAGGAGCGTAGGGTCAAATTCGAACTAAGTCAACTTAAAGGTGAAAGTACAAAACGAGCATTGTTTTCTTCGGTTGGCTTCTTCCATGGTGGAAGAATTTAGGTAGTCGCATAGACACAGCTGCTGGGACAATGAACTGTCAAACCAATTTTGGAAATGACATTTTTAAATGAAAAATTATTGAAATTTATAAAAATTGTTAAAAAATGCATATCATAACAACCTCCGATTGGCTTCGTTTGGGAATACATATAAAAATCTACTTATATTTGAAAAAAAAAAAATTAAACAAATTTGACATATCTATGCTCTTAAGCATTGATGCATCTACCTATATTCTTCTACCATGGCTTCTTCGTAGTGGAACAAATAAGTTTTAGGTTGACTTAGTTCGATTCTGGCCCAAGACTCCTTTGTTATTTTCCGAAGAAGCTAGCCAACCAGAAGGGTTTTAGGGATTCTCACTTTTAAACTCCTTTGTTCCTCTACGAAGAAGTCAGCCGATGACTTAAGCCATTCAAAAAGCGTTTTATGTATTCTCACCTTTACACACACGGAATGACAAACTTAAAATACCATTTGCAAATGAAACGAACTATTATTATTTACATAAGAATATATATCCCCTCTCATCTATAATCTTTGCAATTTAATATACTTGTCCTTAATTAAATGCTCTATAATATATAGACTTTGCTAATGCCTTTAAAATCGATTTTGTTTCTTCTCCACGATTTTTTTTCTTAAAAGCACAACAATATAATGAATACTAGAATATATTTTTATATAGAGATTTCGTATATTTTTTTTCAGGATATGATTGCCAACAACTGAAGATAATAACAAATATGGGAGAAAGTGACAACGAAGACATCAAGACAAAGAAAAGTGGGAATTCTGAAACGAAATCGTCAACAACAAAACCACAATCGCAAGAGGAACGAAGTGATATTGCAACCCGAAATGGTAGGCCCTCGTGGCACGAATCTAAAAAAATGTTAACTCGAATATTTCTGTGTATTACAGGTGATATCGGTGTGGAGAGGACACGGAATCGCGTGTCCTCCTCATCGTCTTCGTCGACGGTGGGTGGCGGCGGTGGTTCGAGGGATGAGACCCATGCCGAGGCCACTGACACGAAGGAGGCCGCCAATGCAAAACCGAAAATAGACTCAAAAGGGCATTCAATTCTTCTGTCAGCAAAGGATAGTCTGAAAGTCAAGGAACCGATACGTGTGGGCTTCTATGACATCGAAAAGACAATTGGAAAAGGAAATTTTGCAGTAGTCAAGTTGGCAAGACATCGTATCACCAAAAATGAGGTGGGTGATTTGCAATTTTGTAGTCCAGTTTCAAATAATTGAGCTTTGTGTCTTTCCGATTTACAGGTTGCAATCAAAATCATTGATAAATCACAATTGGATGCTACGAACTTACAAAAGGTCTATCGGGAAGTGGAAATCATGAAACGTCTCAACCATCCGCATATTATCAAATTATATCAGGTAAATCCACTCAAATCCATTCAAGATCCTAATAAGACGAACGAACATATGTGCTCTTCTTCTGCAGGTGATGGAGACGAAAAATATGATTTATATCGTGTCCGAATATGCTAGTCAAGGTGAAATATTTGGTAAGTTTATGACACAATCAAAGCTAACTCGGACATTATTTAATCCTGTATGTTTGTATACCTACATTCACAGATTACATAGCAAAATATGGAAGGATGTCGGAAAATGCTGCACGCTATAAATTTTGGCAAATATTGTCAGCTGTGGATTACTGCCACAAAAAAGGAATTGTCCACAGAGATCTTAAGGTAAATTAGTAAAGGCGAAAAAATCAATGAATAATTTTACTATCTCAATACATAGCCGAATAAGATACGGTTTGAGCTCGGCTTGTGTCATGTCGAATGTGTTTAAGTAACAAGATGTAAGATCGTTATTAACTTCTTTACATCAAATGTCCCGAAATTAAATTTGTTGTGTTTGTTCCCAGCAAAAACCTAGGCCGGTTAACTCATTTAAAAATAATGAAAAAACAAACTTCCATCGTCCGACGAAAATTATGGTACTAGTACATAGAGTTACGGATCTTTATGTACCAAACATCCAATACACAAGTGTGCAAAATTTTAGTCTTCCATCTCAATTCGTTCGAAAGATAGCGTGATTACAACAGACAGATAGACGGACGTCGAAGCTGATCCAAAATACATATACTTTGTTGGGCCTAACATGAGTATTTCGAGGAGTTGCAAATGATATTACAAAGTTAATATACCCTCCATAGTATGGTGAAGGGTATAAAAATTATACAAACAAATTTTCAATTCGAAGTTGAATTTTATCATGAATGCCACAAAATCGAATCGATCGTTTTTGTTTTAGCTTCTCCTGATTCCGTAGATGTGGAAATTGTGGAAAATATTATGTTCAAAAAAATGTTTTGTGTGAAAAGGAAACTTATTTTGTTAACTATTACACAATGTCGGGAGTGTTGATCATTTCTGTAGTTGAAGCGCAAACTAATGGACACAATACTAAAAAAATACGCCGGATATTTGTAAATTCCTGTTTGTCATTTTAGACCCCACAAAGCATACATATTCTTGATCAGCATAAAATTCTATGTCGATTAAGCAATGTCCGTCCGCCTGTCTGTGGAAATCACTCTAGCTTCCAAACGAATTGAAGTAGATTGATAAAATTTTACACAAATGTATATTATGTCTGCAGGACTTTGGTATTGAAAATGAGCCATGTAGGTCTACGTTTTCGTATGGCCCCCGTATAACGGTACCTCGCGATTTTCGGTATTTTGATGATTTTAGCGACATTATTCAACGGAATTGTTTCAAATTTGGTATTTGAAGTTCGTAATGGATACTTCAGCCTAAGACAGAAAATTGTCTGTGTAGGTATACGTCTTCGTATAGCCCCCATATAAGGGTGCCTCCCGATATTCCGTATTTTAATGACTTTAGCTACATTATTCACCTTTTTTTCTAAGTTTTGCATTTGAATATTGTAATATAATAATTTTGACAAAAGTTACCTATGCAGGTCCATGTTGTCGTATTGACCCTGATATAACAGCTACATTCGGTATTTCTAAGATTTTTTTGAAAATTGTCAAATTCGTTCCAAATGGTAGAGGGTATTCAAAGTTCGGCCCGGCCGAACTTACAGATTTTTAATTGTTTTTTTTTTTTTAACTTTGCATCAGTTTATTATACGTAAGGCCAGAAGAAAAATACTAGTTTTCGAGAAAAAACTATGTGGCAACACTTTGTCAATAATTTGCTTCGTCAATTGAGAAACAATTACAATTTGCTAATCACTTTAAATAAAAATATAAAAAATGTATATTTAATTGTATTTTTATTATTAAAACGAAATTTTTATTACTTAAAAGTGTTTTAAAGTTACAAGTTCCAACAAAAATACGATTTCACTTGTAAAACCCAAGGTGGTTCAAAACCGGAGATTTTCTTCGTTTTCTGAATGTATGTATCTTCTAGGAAAATGCAAACTACAACAACTAATCTGTACAAGTCATGTTACCATAAGCTGATTCGATACGATTGTCTGGTATCCACATAACGATAGAAAACTTCCTGGCTAACATATTTGAGGACAACAGATTTAAACGTAAATTAAGGTCTTACAAGATGGAGAATATTAAAAGTTCGCCCTTTCGAACTTAATTCCCTCATTCTTCTTAAGAAATACTATTTTCCAAATGAAAATGAACAATTCTTTCTTTTTATACCCTCTTTATACCTTCTTTCTTTTTATACCCTCCACTATCGTATAAAGGGTTCTAAGATTGTTATTCCGTTTGAAACACATCGAAATATTATTTTTAGACCCCGCCTTGTGATTTCCGTCTATGGAAATCACTCTAGCTTAAAAGAAACGAAGTAGGTTGATCAAATTTTACTCAGATGTGTTTTCGGTCTGCTATATAGGTCCCCATACAGGGAGAGATAAGAAACTGCAACAAAGTCAAACGCCATAATTTTTACATTTTTTTGACTGAAAGCATTAAATTTTAGAATAAGTTTAGATTTGGTTAACTTTGGTACGAATAATGGACTTCAAACTTCAAACGGCCTGTTGGAATGTCCAAGGTCTGCGGCCAAAATCTTTTCGTGTCCCAAGGATTTAATACACCCTCCAGAATATTTTCCCGACAATATTCGGCGCTTATTCTGATGCCACTGTCGATTATTACGAGCGGAGAGCGACCATTATTTGTTATGGCGGCCCACACCATCACCATGGCCGGCGCTTGAGTTCTGGTGGCCAACCGAAGGTGCACATTTTCAGCTGACCTCTTTGGCAAGTAAACACGATCATTTTGTTTGTTTACAAACTGCTGGACAACGCATGTTTTATAATCGGAGAAAACCAAATTCGGCAGTTCACCACTGTCGGCCAAGCGAGGCAACTCCTTAGCTCTTTTGAGTCTATTTTTTTCCTGTTGGGGTGTAAGTTCTTGTACTTTTTGGAATTTCAATAGCTTTACCCCAAGCTCATTTTTCAATATTTGCCGAATGGAGTATTGCGATATGTTCAGCACACGAGCCATTGCGACGCGGGTTCCGATCAAGTCGCTTCTTTACTTTTCGATCCATTTCTGCTGATGTTGCGGTTTTCTTCCGTCCACTTCCTTGACGCCGGGCTACGCTACCAGTATCACGGTAACGAGCGATGGTACGAGACACAAAAGATTTATTCATATTTAAATGCTGGAGTGCTCTAACTATAGCCACTTGTGGTTTTCCAGCCAAATATAAAGACGTCACACGATCACGCTTGAATTCCATAGCGAATAACTTTTTTTCTGGAAAATTTTTATCAAAATGCTTAGGTACGCTTGTAAACAATATAATGAGCTGTCACTGGAATAATTTTAACAGATGTTAGACGAGTGTCTTAGAAATGGCAGCAGTCTGAAATTGGTCGCAGTTTTTTTCATCTCACTCTGTATAACTGCACCGATAGATTTAATAATTTTTGGGTTTTTTAGTCACAATTTTAATCTGAATTTGCTGTAAGTTGTCAGCATGTGTCCCCATTATGTTTTGGTGATTTGTGTCACACTTTTCACCGGAATTGTTTCAAATTTGGATTTTGAAGCTCCCAATGGGTACCTTATCCTATGTCAGAAAATTGCTCTTCGTATAGCCCCCATATAACGTTACCACCCTTTATTTGGTATTTTGATGATTTTAGCGATATTATTCATCGGAATTGTTTCAAGTTTCGTATTTAAACATTATAATGGCCTATGACAAAAATTGCATATACAGGTCCACGTCTGTATGTTCGGCATATTTATGCTAAACATTTGCTAATTCCTTGAAATTGTGGGGGGTATTCTAGGTCGAACTTATTGCTTCTTTACTTGTTTTACATACGAATATGCTTATTGATATACATAAATAAAATCAGAAAAAGTAAAATTATATTTTGTCCTATTCTGTCAAAACATATACACAGTTTGTATGTGTGTATTATTTTGAATAAAAAAGAAAATAATTCGAAATCATTTCAAATTGGAGACAAAAGAATGTATACTTTCTATGTTAGCGGGCAATAAAATGTATAATTTTGAGATAAAACAATATTGTCTCTCTACCTTGGATTCAATTTTGTGGTGAAACCTCAATATTCTATTCATGTTTTGAGATTTTTTCGCAACATTAAAATTTTGTGAAAAAATGTTTAATAAACAAAACAAATTGTTGAATGTTTAAAAAAGTCTATTTGACATATTAAGATTCCAGTACAAAGTTGAATTTTGCCAGTTTCCTTGAAGTTGATCAACCTTTCTTATTGAGCCATAGTAGAAGACGGAAATTTCCAACCAAAAACAATGTTATATTTTTGCCACGGAAGACAACAACATTTCTAACACTCGAATTTTGATTTTTAATTTTGAAACTTGGATGTAGTCATTGAAATGTTATGAAAAAATCACTGATCTCATTTTGTCATAAGACCATGAGGTAATGATTTTTATATCGCCCGGTCAATCTTGAAATGCCCTAAAAATAACAAGTCAAATATTTAAAAAAATCTGATTTCAAATTCGTATTTTTTTCTTTTCACTTCTCAAGGCTGAAAATCTACTTTTGGACAATAATATGAATATAAAAATAGCAGATTTTGGATTTTCCAATAATTTTAAAGTTGGCGAATTGCTAGCAACATGGTGTGGCTCACCGCCGTATGCTGCACCCGAAGTATTCGAGGGAAAACAGTACACCGGTCCGGAGATTGATATATGGGTATGACAATAAAACAAAGAAATCGCGAAGCACGAAAATATGTTTTTCCAATCGATTTCCAAATTTCTTTCTTCGCAGTCTCTTGGCGTGGTTTTGTATGTCCTGGTCTGTGGTGCTTTGCCATTTGATGGCTCAACGTTACAAAGCCTCCGAGATCGGGTGCTATCTGGCCGCTTTCGCATACCATTTTTTATGTCTTCAGGTATGTTTTCAAGATTGTTTTTGTTTTGCGATGTTCTCCAATATTTGATTGCAACGTGTCTTACAGAATGCGAGCATTTAATACGACGCATGCTTGTATTGGAACCATCGCGCCGCTACACAATCGAACAGATCAAATTGCACCGTTGGATGTGCCCCGAAATACTGGAATTGTCGAATATAGCCAAATTCAATGTCAACATGGACGGTACTACGAACATTGAACCCAACGAGGACATCTTGCGCATTATGTCTGAATTCGCTGGCATACCACCGGAAAAAACTCGTTCTAGTCTTAAAAAGAACAGTTACGACCATGTCGCTGCCATTTATTTACTACTCCAGGATCGAGTCTACAACAAGAAACTGCAGCAGGAGCAGAAACACATGCTAGGGAGTGCCACCTGCAGTACTGGAAGTACTGCCTCCATTTCACTGCCAAAACATTCAAGTATAAGTAAACAGCATGCCCTAGCTGGTTCCACACTCTCCCAGCTGTCTGCGGTATCCTCGACCGCTGCAGCCCATCAGTATTCCTCGAAAATGCTGTACAAACAGACCAAATCAAGTTCTACGGATCAGCATCACCGTCTCAAGTCCGGCCATGTTCTACCGCCAGAGGAACACAATCAATTCGTCAGGGATCATTACAGTCTCATGACAAGGTTGAGCCGGCAGACGTTATTGGGCGAACGCGGTGTCACCACCACGAATGCTGATCACGTACTGCAGCCCAAGATGCCCGACAGTCAGATGCGGTATCATTTCGAACGGTTGGGTCGAATGTCTCGCCAAGATCTGAGCAGCAGCCAGCTGCCCATAGGTAGTTCAACATACGGCATAGACAATAACAAACACTCGATATCCAATTTAAATTGCCGAGACATTGGCTCCTCCAATCATTGCTTGAATGGCGGTCTGCCAACAGCAACAACAACAACAACTCTTAGATATGCAGACGATCGTTCAATGCGCGAACGTCTCTTTGGGGGAGTTGGAACAGCAGGAGCTACAAACTTCAACATCGAGGAAAGTATCCTAAAACAGAGTTCAGAAGACTGTAGGCTTTTGTTACAAAAGGCCACTGCCATATCCGAATCCAAAAACAATAAACACAAAACCAAAACGACTGAAGCCAAACAAAAGTCCGACACGAAGCTCAGCGATTCTAAGTCTATTTCAAGCTCAACTAGTTTCGATTCCTCGTCAAATTTAGATCAAAGTCTTAGTTTTCGATTCAAAATGTCTGCAGAGGCGACAAAACTGTTCCAGACATTGCAGGAAAGTCCCCTGCCACTGGAGGTAAGTTGTATTGCCAATATCCGAATGTCGTTAATTGAACTCACCCCACCCTCACACACACACACACTCACACACATCTAGAGCCCAACGCAAGAGAATGAGGGCGAAACCAATCCCAGTGTTACAATAAATTTTAATAACGATCGCACGACACCACAATCATCTGAGAAGGGTAAATCGAAGAAAAATTATTCCAGGTAAGTGTCATTCGAACCATGGAGATGGCTAATTGTAATTCGTTATTTTTCAAAATGTTACAGCACCAATGACAACGAAAAGTCTACAACGAAGAGTTCTTCGAACAAAAAGGTTTCGGCTCAATGTAGTTCGAGTACTGATGAGGGTTGTGAAACTGACATGGGTAACGATGCCAAAGGTAAGATAATATTTTATAAATTACTTATCAAAGAAGAGCTCAAAACAAACTTCGAATAGATTATACAGTTCATTATCTAATAGCTCTTTTAGATACAACATTTTATCCGGATACCAACCCACATTATCGGGATTTATTGCTTAATTTCGAATAATTCAACCAAAATTAGCGTACAAAAACAGATCTTCTCACGACCGGATTTATTTAAAATTCGGTGTGGAATCTACATACAATCGGGAAGCATCACTGGGTACTGCATTAGTATTGCGGTAAATCGCAAATGTTTCCGCAAAGGCATTTTTTACATTTTGCATTGGAACAATGACAAAAAAAAAACAGTAAGGAAATGGTAAAAGTCGGGCGGGCCGGCTATATGATACCCTACACCACCATACATATTTAGTAGAGCTTCCGTAACAGAATAATTTATTTAAAGTTGATCATTCCACCTATCAACATTTGACTTTAGAGCAGTCATAGTTTCAGAGGGAACTAATATATGGGAGGCCTATTCAATTCGATTTTCACTAAATTTGATTCGATTTTCACATTTGAGTGCATGATATCACTTAAAGAAGGATCATATTAAAAAATATATATCGGAGCCGAGTTCCACAAAATGGAAACGTACGTCCCGAAATTCTCTCCATTAGGGCTAATATTAGCCATTATTTGCACAAAAAATCTGAAATTGGTATATGTGGGAGCTATATCCAAATCTGAACCGATCTTCTTAAAATTTGGCAGAAGTATTTCCGAGCTCTATAAGATAACTGGTTCCAAATATCATTGTTGTCGAATGCATATTACAAATGTGAGGGACATAAACACCAAATAAGACGAAACATACATATATGGGAGCTATAGCTATATCTGAACGGATTTTCACTTTCTTCTAGACTGTATTCGGTCGGATTTGGACAGATATTGGCTATTTGGTGCACAACTAACCCGAAATCGGTTAAAGATATGTGTGGGAGCTATTTCCTAATCTCAACCGATCTCGATAAAATTTGAAAGAGGTATTTTCGAGCAGTATCTGATGTCTGGTACCAAATATCATTCTTCTACAGTGGGTATTACGCATGTGAGGGACTTAAAACCCCAAATCGAATGAAACGTATATGTGGGAGCTATAGATATATCTGAAGCGAATTTCTCCAAATTTGATGTACTAGCTTCTAGCCTGAATTCGGTGGGATGTACCAAAATACAGGTCATTTGGATATATATTAGCCATTTGGTGCATAATTAACCCGAAATCGGTTGAAGATGTATGGGAGCTATATCCAAATCTTATCCGATTATCATCAATATCAATAGGGTTCATTCTTGGGCCAAAACAAATATTGTTCGCAAAATTTCACATCAGTCGGATAATAAATGCGACCTGCATTTTGTTCACAAGAATACATAGACGAGCGGTCGGACTGACATGCATAAATCGATTCTATGAAGATCCTCAAAAGTAACTATGGGTCTATCTAGCTTCCTTCTCCATGTTACAAACAAATGCACAAAGACATAATACCCTTGCTACCATGTGGTGTAGGGTATAAACAAACCCGTCGCCGTACATGAGAAAACAGCTGCTTCGCATTGGTGGTAAAATTCAGTTTGTGCACACACGCAAAATTTTCTGTTAGTTCCACGTTTTTTTTTACAAAAATTTAACAAAAAAAAAAAAAAAATAAAAAAGTGAACAACATAAGAATACACAACTGAAAATGAGATAATTTTATCAGCTGATGTCTGTGCCGGACTTGACGCATGTCAAAAGTTGAGAGTGGAAAAATTCCGTTAAAAATGCTGTTAAAATTAAAAGTAGATGTAGCTGTTATATTAGGGTCTACGACGACATTGACCTGCATAGGTAACTTTTGTGATAAGTTATTACAATATTCAAATGCGAAACTTAAAAAAAAAATCGGTGAATAATGTAGCTAAAATCATCAAAATACCGATTATCGGGAGGTACCGTTATATGGGGGCTATACGAAAATCTGGACATGCATATGAAATTTTTTTCAAAGGCTGTAGTATCCATTACAAACGTCAAATACCCAATTTGAAACAATTCCGTTGAATAATGTCGCTAAAATCATCAAAATACCGAATATCGGGAGGTATCGTTATATGGGGGCTATACCAAATCGTAGACCTACATGGCACAATTTCAATACCAAAATTCCTGCAGACATAAAATACATTTGAGTAAAATTTTATACTTCAATTCGTTCGGAAGCTAGAGTGATTTCCCCAGACGGACGGATATCGCTAAATCGACATAGAATTTTATGCTGATCAAGAATATATATATACTTTGTGGGGTCTATATAGTATGGCGTTTACGTTTACAAATCAGTAGAAACCTTTAGAGGTATGCTAGAAGAGATCAATCTATAAATGTGAAAAAACTCACTTACATATGACTCTAATACGTAAGGACCATGGTATAATAAAGACAAGGTAGGGCATAACAATCACGTGAATGCAATTTACCTTTTATCTATTATTGTCATAACATTTATATTTTTTTGTGAATATGTGGTTTTGAATAATTAACAAAATCTATATATATATAAAATCAATTGTTGTTCGTTGGTAATGGACGGCTGGACCGATTTGCATAATTTTTTGTACAAACGTTCGTCATACCTCGAGTTAGGTTTAAAAAAAAAAAATATTGACCACGCCCACTTTTACGCCCACTATTTGCTAAAATAATGAAGATATCCGGTTGAAAATTATTACACGAGATACTGTTGACTTTCCATCCAACCCTAAGTATTTGGGGACTGAGGAACTAACAACGCCTACTTTTTAATCTAAATATATCAATATGTATAAAAGAAAGTTGTGATTATGACTCAAGAACGATTCAGACAAATTCGGAGTTGTTTCTTGGCAGAAAAGGATAAAATCCAAAAAAAGGGTAAAAATGTGAAATTTTAAAATTATCATTTTGACTTTTGAAATGTACAATAGTAATGTTTTATATTGCACGATTTTTTCCATTTGGACTTGCTATTTTCGAATGTACATTTGTAGTGTTTTTATACCCTACAACACTATGTGTTGGGGGTATTATAAGTTTGATTGGGCCAGAATTTATGTAACACCTCGAAATATTGGTTTCCCATATAGGAAAGTATATATGGATCTTCCTAGCTCGCCGAGCTGAGTCGATCTAGCTATGTATGTCCGTCCGTCCGTCTGTCCGTCTGTCCATGTTAATTTGTAATAATACAGGTCGCAATTATGGCCCGATCCTTACGAAATTTTGCACGAAGGTGGGGTTAGGGTCAGAATAGAAGCCTATTTCTTTTGGAGACGATCGCCAAATGTTTAGGGGTTGAAATGGACCAAATGTCGGATTTTGCAGTAGCTATACAGGTCGCAATTATAGACCAATCGACGCGGAATTTCGCACGTAGCTAGAGTTTATGGCGGGGAAGAAGCCTACCAATTTGGGTGGTCATCGGATAATATTTAGCGGGTAAAATATACCATATCTTTTGTGTTGAAAAAATTCAAAATTTTTCATTAAACCGCGAATATTTTAAATCCCGGCGAAATCACAAAGCCATGACAAGGTTACTTCTGATCTTTACATTGATGTTAACATCCAACAAATCGGATATATAGCAAAATATGTGCGAATATATGTCTATCAAAGAAGAAGCTTGAAAGATCTCTTATATGTCGAGAACGGCTGAATTGATTTCGACAGTTCTCATTAATTCAGAATGGCCTCTTGACAGGAAACAAAAAACTTCTAAAAAAATCGCATAAAAACATCTCTCTAAAGATGAAAATATTGGATTTGTAACATTTTCTTGTATTTTTTCAATTTTGTCATATTTTTGCCATATTTTCATTTTGAATTAAACATTTGGTAATATTTCTACAGCTAACAAAACTAAGTAGTAAGGATATCAGGATATCATATACAGATCGCATTTATGGCCCGATCCTTACGAAATTTTGCATGGGGATAAGATGAGGGTCAGAATAGTTGCCTACTCTTTTTGGAGATGATCGCCATATATTTAGGGATTGAAATGGACCAAAAAACTGCAAAATTGTCAGCAGGTCGTAATTATCGCCCGATCCTCACGCACATTTGAATGGGGGTTACCGGACATTACAAAAGCCAAGCAGTTTTGTATGGCCATCCAAAAATATTCAATGTGTGAAATAGTTTGCCAACTTTTGTAGACAAAATACGAAAATGTCCATTTCAGTGACTTTTTGGAGAATTCACAAATACAGGAAAGACGCACTTCTGACTATTTATGTAATGCTGATTTCGTTGAAGAATATAGTCAAATGTCTGTATCTCATATAGATGCGTTTCAGTCAAAAACCAATAATAAATGTTAATCTTTTGCCACTTCTGAGAGATTATAGGTCTTTGGGAAATATTGGTTCCAGATCTAGGAAGACCATTTACGTGCAACATCTACCAATAAATTGGAAATGAGCAAATTAGTTTAAGTTGCTATTATTCGAAAATTAGAGAGGTTTCGTTCTCTAATTTTCGAATAATAGTATAGATAGATGGTATTCTTTTATTATTTGTCACAATATCTTGTGGAATTCTTTCGAGTATCTCGCCTATATAAACTGTATCGTTTTTTATAGTGTTGTAGGGTATTCAACGGTCGGCCCCGCTCGACTGTAGCCTTTGCTTACTTGTTTTTTTTAATTCTAATATGATGTGTATAAAAATGTCCAAAATCTGTTAAAATACTTGTAATTATTGTACCATGGTGTGGACTATGTATGTATGGACCAGGCTTTATATTGTATTTTAATTAATGAACTAGTGTCCTAACTTCTCCCTAATCGCGGGCGAAAAGACAGGGCACACAAAGCTTATGTAATTGCTTAACTCTTCCTCGTCTCCTTTCAGATACTTCGCAATCCTCTACGGACTTGCGCAATCAACGTATACAGTCATACGCAAGTAGCAGTTCATCAAGTGGTGTTATCGGAAGTTACTCCAAGAGTCTCAGCCAAAACCTAAGCCGGGCATCGTCGAAAAGCAACTGCTCCACATTCGAGAGCATTGACTTCAATTTAGTTACCAGCATCGATTTGGCCGGTAGCTTGCCATCGTGTGCGAGTAACTCGACCATTGCCGCTGCGGTGTCGGGAGCCAGTGGCAGTGCAACACCCGAACAGTCATCAGAAGGCTCCTTCTACAACAGCAATAACTCATGCGTGTACATGCCCCCTGTCACAAGCACATCATCCATGCTGTCGACCAAATCCACGCCCTATTCGGACAAACGATCTCCAATACATTTTCGGTAGGTTGGAATGATATTCCGCCACAACTCGGCCATCAATTTTGTATTTTCTCTCATTACAGGGAAGGTCGCCGTGCCAGCGATGGTCTAGTTGCCCAGGGCATTGTCAGCTCCACGGGACCGCTGCACAATGGCTCTGCCTATGGCAGCTATCGCTATGATACCCCAAACAAGCGAAATGGCTGGCTCGAACTACAGCAGCTGCAACGCGAAGCCCACACTCTCAATTCCAAGTACAGATCCAATCTGCCAATGGACGAATTCAATAACTGTCAATTCCAGCATAGTCAATTTTACACCCTGTCAAACAGAATACCTGCTATGGATTTCCATCCAACATATACATCGCATTTGATGCGAACCATGGATAACATGGAAAACTTTCCCGAAAAAAACGGCGGTCCATTTCACCCGTCTCTCTACCATTACATGCGCATGGACGCTACCCAGAATGCTTACCCCGGCAGTTTGCCGCGACAAGATCCTAATCTCATTCTAAGCCAGATGAACCCTGCCACGGCAATGTTGCCAATGCAGAAACCGCCATTGCAGCAACAACTGTTGCAGCATAGATTGCTGCAACAAAAACGTCAATTGTTTCAGAAGCAATACGCTTTGGAGGCCCACTTGGGTCGTCCTCATCACCTAATAAGGGAGCACAGCTACAAACTTGGCGCGCATCCGTCTCACGCTGTTACCCCGACGTCCACGCCGCCTCCTCCACCACCGCCTGCCGTCATGCCTCACAACGATGACTTTGTACAGTTGCAAATGTTTGAACGCAGCAGTGGCAAGCTTCATCACAATTCCCTGACACCGTTAGCGGTGTACAATCATCATCACCAGCACAGCATCAATAGCTACATGAAGACGACATACATTAAGCAACAGTCGGCAGATGTGGCCGTAATACCGCCAATTGTCCAAGGCAGGAGGAGTCCCAACATAAACCGACATGCTTCGGAAATATGGTCAGCGACCGGAGCCCATGTGGCTGGGAGTGGCATGGCAACAGCAGGAGGAACAACGCCGCTATTAGATCATCGCAAAATGTCTCCAGTGAAATTGGAAAATGGCGGTAGTCGTGGAACCGTCTCAACACCGTCACCCTCCCCATCTGTATTACCACCGCATGCATACCATGTAATTGTGAATCCATCATTTCTTTTATTTCGTAATTATTAATCGATCGATTGTTCTTCTTTCCTCCCCTCCGTGTACAGCCATCGTCATGTACAACAACACCATCACTAGCACTATCATCATCATCGTCTGTGGCTGCTCTAGCTTCAGCGTCGCTGGCACCCGCCTCATCATCCTCCATCAATCCATCCACCTCGAACACCTGTTCCTCCTCATCCTCGTCCTCCACCGCATCGTCGGCATCGGCATCGTCATCATCATCATCCACGTCATCATCATGCTCAACCAATACGACAAACACAGCCCCTCTATCGAAAAAACCACCACCAATGCAAGCATCCGCAACGGCTTCTTCACAAATAAATTTATACACACCAAATTGGCAGACTGTTATCAAACCGCTTAGCGAAAGTCCCATACTCGAAATTGCAGAGCATTTGGAATCGGTGTAAGGCTTTTAGTTTTGTTTGTTACTCAATTCTGCGCCTATTTATCGATCTATCTATCTACTGTTTTATATCTGCATACCTATATACAAGCATACAGACATATGGAGTATATTTAAACATAAATACTATAAATAATATAATCTATACATACATACATACGTACATACATATATTGGTATACAATATGCTATTATTATATACTAAACATAGGTATTGCGATTATAAATATATCTACTATGTAGTTAGCATTCAAAGTTCCCAATGTGCGTAGAAGGGGAAACGATTTTTGTGCATTTAAGGTTACTCTGGTTGTCCCATAAATCATTAGAAGTTTTTTAACGACTGTACAGTGGGGTTACAACCTAAAAATAAACCCGTCGTTTCGGTCAATTGAAAGGTTCCAGCACCGACTAACTACTGTTTTTGATAGTTTGTTTATTTATTTAAAAATTAAGTTATTGACTCAGTGAACAAATATTTGAAGGAAATGACATGCCGTTGAAATAAGGTATTAGGACAAATTGTAGCATTTTGGAAAGGTGAGAGTGTCAGCTATAATTTGGCATTAATTTTGTTGACCCCCATAATGGGCCCTTTTTCGACTTTTTGGGGGTTTTATAAAAAATCCTGGTCTAAAAAATCTATAATTTGACTATAACTTCCAAATCGCTTTACAAAAAAACTAGAAAAAAGTTTATGTGAAAAAAAAAATATGTAGAGGCGATGCTCCCAAAATACAAATGTCAAAAAAATAAAAACACAATTAAAAACAGCATTACGAATACTTTTTTCAGTAAACTAAAAAAGTTGGACCTAAAATAGTATTCCATTGACATTTACAGTTAAACGAATGTGACATTTGCTGTTAAAATATCTTAACATTGCTAAAGGCTAGTATCTAGCATGTTACAATAAGGAGGTAGAACAGCTTCGTAAAACTACAGAAATACAGCTCTGAGGCTATGCCCGCTTTCTGTCAGAATTATTTTAATTTATAAGCAACAAGTTGTTTTTATTTATTTGGTATTTTTTGTTCATTTCTAAAATGAATCAAATAGCGCGAAAGATGAATGAAATGCCTGGATGTTCTCTCAGAAATATGATCCTAAGTCTTCAATCTTTCATTTCCATGGCAAATCTAGTTAATATTATTAATGCGCGCTCCGCAATTTAAGTTTCTTCCAATCATTGATTTTGAAAATATTTTGTTTTTTTTTTCAAAACAACAAATAAATACACTAAATTGGGCACACTTAGAAAAAAAATTGAAATCAGCTGGGTGCCCTACCTTACCTTTTTATTGTACCATGGCATAGACAAATGAAAATATAGACAACGAAATGCTCTCACCGTTTATCTTCGAAAAAAATCGAATCAGCAGATGTCGTCTATATCGTTTCAGGGGTTTGAGTGGGAATATTGAAATCACTCAATTCTAAAACGTTAAAAATAACAAAAACTGTAGGATATTTGTCAGTTGGAAATTGTTCCATAATAAAATAAATGTGGAAATTACGAGATGACATCAAAAAATTCCGGAATAATCAAGTGAAATTCTTGAAAAACGATGAAATGTGTTTTCGAAGTCGAGTGGCTTGAACGCGTAAATGAGCATGTTGACTATGCAAAACATGATGAGAGCCACCTGGAAAAAAAGACCAAACTAACTTTTCGTTGTCTATATCTTAATTTGTCTATGACCATGGTATCTAGTACCAAAGACATAAAACTATAAAGATTGGACAAAATGCATATGGGCATTAATTTTTCTATCAGGTAATAGGTGGCAGGCGACATAACAGACATTTGGACATTTTAGAAAAATATGTTATTTCGATATCGCCGAAAAATGGCGGAAATACGCGGAAAAAATATCAGGTATGCCATACATGCCATAGACAAATGAAAATATAGACAACGAAATACTCTCACCGTTCATCTTCGAAAAAAATCGGATCAGCAGATGTCGTCTATATCGTTTCAGGGGTTTGAGTGGGAATTTTGAAGTCACTCAATTCTAAAACGTTAAAATTAACAAAAACTGTAGGATATTTGTCAGTTGAAAATTCTTCCATAATAAAAGACAAGTGAAAACTATGTAGTGACATCGAAAAATTCAGGAATAATCAAGTAAAATTCTTGAAAACCGATAAAATGTGTTTTCGAAGTCGAGTGGCTTGAACGCGTAAATAAGCATGTTGACTATGCAAAACATGATGAGCGCCATCTGGATAAAATAACAAAACTAACTTTTCGTTGTCTATATCTTCATTTGTCTATGCATTCAATCGATAAAAATCAACAATAACCCTTAAAAAGTGTCAGTTCTGTTAAATTATAACATAATGCTATATCACGATATCGTGACATAACATATTTTTCCACTACCAACGCCATTTCTATTAAGTATTTTATAACATACTTTAAGGCGCTTCACACAATTAGTTATCTTAAAGAGAAAGTGCAAGAGGAAGGAGCACAAGTGTAAGATAAATTTAATATATGTATGTTATATAGCACTGTACAGCATGTATTTTATATAGTATAGCGTTTCGTTTAAGATCTTTGAGATTAATCCACCTGCAGGCCATAATCTGTAACTTTTGCCGATTAAAAAGTCTATGTAGTGTCTTATATTTGCTCATCTATGTCTTTAAAATGTATCTGACATTATAAAATATTAAAAAAAATGCACAGATCGCGATGCACTCGATGAGAGAACTTTTATCGCTGTAGAGATAAAATGACACCACATGGCATAACCAAGGTAAATTTTAATACTACAACACAGGAGGTGAATTTATAGCTTAGCCTTATTCTGCTAGACAACAAAACTATACACTTCAATATTATGCACAAAAGAGATACATTTTTTTGCAGATTTTTAATTATCATGTCACCATGTAAATACACCCGGTGTATAATCTAGCTGTTCGTTTTTTTAAATGTTCAAAAGCAAAGAATTCAACTGACATAAAAAATCCATATTTATACCCTACAACACTATGTGTTGATTGAGCCAGAAATTATGTAACACCTCGAAATATTGGTTTGCCACATAGGAACCTATATATGGATCTTCCTATCTCGCCGAGCTGAGTCCATCTAGCTATGTATGTCCGTCCGTCTGTCCATGTTAATTTGTAATCAAGCTACAGGTCGCAATTATGGTCCGATCCTCATTAAATTGAACATGGAGGTGGGGTCAGAATAAAAGCCTATTGTTTTTGGAGATGGTTGCAAAAGTATTTAGGGGTTTTTCCTGATTTTGCAGTTGCTCTATAGGCCACAATTATGAACCAATCAATGCGAAAATTTACATGGAGCTAGAGTTTAGGACTGGGCAGAAGCCTACCAATTTGGCTTCGGCCATAGGACAATATTTAGCGGGTAAAATAGACCCAAACTTTTATGTAAGAAAATATGAAAATTGCCACTAAACCGAGAATATTTTTAATCCCAGTCATATCAAGAAACATTAAAAGATCACTTCTGGGCATTAATGGGTACAATATATATGTAAAAGAAATAGATCTTCACAATTCCCATCCCGATTTTCACAATTCCCATTAATTCGGAATGGTCTCTTGCCAGAAAAAGAAAAAATCTAAAAAAATCGCGGGAAAATATACCAATAAAGAAGTGAATATTTTTTGTTCCATTATTTTCTATTTTTGCCAAATTTTTTATCGCCTACGTTTTGATAGTATTATATACATGCCACAATTGTAGTCCGATCCTCACGAAATTTTTCATAGGGGTCAGAATTAAAGCCTATTTACTAAAAAAAATTAAAATTTTCTAATTTTGTAGTCGCTCTATAGCCCACAATTGAAAACCAATCGACACGGAGTTTCGCATAAGAAGAGAGTTAAGGACAGGGAAGAAGTCTAGCATTTTTGATGGATTACATTTAGCTGTAAAATGGACCACAACTTTCGTGTGAATTTTTTTTAATACCTAACAACACGACGGAGTGCGTAAATATTGGCCAAATTCCCCGGGACAGAAACCTAAGGGTAACATCTGTGTAGGGCTCTTTGACATTATTTAAAAAACGAAATCATCCAAAACGGATTCGGACAAAGGCGACCTCGAACATATTGTAATGTTGTAGGGTATCACATGGTCGGTCCCGCTCGACTATAGCCTTTGCTTATTTGTTTTTTGATAGAGATGGAAGGAAATACAGTAAAATAAAGGTAATAACCAATGAAATTCCCACAGCAGTCAGTTTTATTATATCCCAATACGTCTGCTCCGAATTGCTTTGGTCTCTTTGCATCTATAAAAGGCTAGTTTTGGTAAGATGTAGTGCTGGTGGTGTATATGGATTCCACCGGATGAAAACGAACAGTGGCTGCTGAGTTAGCAAATCTCCAAGCTCTGAGTGAGCTGTGTTGTCCACAAAGTGTGGGAACAAAAATTTATTACAAATGACAAAAGTATCCTTCAATGTTCACTCATTCATGCGATTCTTTCACGCTGAATAAAACTCTTGCATATAATTGCTATAACAAAAAAACATACAAGAGCTTTATCCCTCCACGTTCTTCAAAAGCCTGCAGATGATGAACGAGCTTGTTTTTAGAAATCTTCCAACACCGATTTGCTGACCTTCTAATCATATTGGGAACTCTTATAGAACGTTCTATAAATATTTTAATGTTAGTTGAGCTTAGTCACAGACTTTTATTATTATCACTTTGCAGAGAATTGAAAAATGTAGCGCGGCTTTGCTTTGGTACTTAATTTCTTTAAATTGCTGAACATATATCATAAATATACTGAACAATTTTGTACTTAACAAATTATAATTACATTGGAATGTACAATAACATAGTCAAATATAATTGTATACAAAAATAAAAAGCAATGCACTATAGTCATAAATACATATACATACATACATACATATACAATTCATATACACAGACGAAGTTTATGTATTGCATTTGTTGACTGATCACCGTATTAAGATTGGGAAAAACATGTTTTCTTTTTCGATCAGATACATGAATCAAATGCAGGCGATAAGCAGCGTATTACAATTACATAAACACATTCACATATACAACGCATAGTACGACAACAAAATGATAATCAAATAATGTACATCATCAATCTTTCCCACAGCGACATATTTTAATCATAATCTGTTAAATAGTTTAGAATCGATTAGAAACCCGTTTAAACCCTCTTGAAAAAATAACTAGACTCAATAATAGCTAATGTAAGACATGAATAAATACAACTACAAGAAACATAATAATATGGTCCTTGAATATTTTTCGATTTGGAACAAAAATTGCAAAACATTTGGCCCTTCGGTAGTTATCACGGTTGGATTCAAAAAGTTACGAAATAAAGAAAAAATAGATATTTTGTAAAATTAAACAAAAATCCAGCGTTGCAAATGTCTGAAATCAAAGAAAAAACAAAACAAGAAATGTTTAATTTTTTTTATAGAATTTCCTATTTCACAGTCTAAAAAATATAAAAATTAAATCTTTATTACCAGAAAGTAGGCTTAGACTAAATCAATTGCAATCGTTTGGCAGAAAAAAAAGAAAAAGAAATGGCCAGCATTTGCCCCAAATTACTTGCAAACAATGAAACATAGTTGTGTTACTAAATTCTAGTTAAATTTTTTGATTAGCATTGAGGAAAATTACAAACGATAACAATAATATTATAATTATTATTATTATTATTATTATACTAAATATTTATTATATTTAAATTAAGCAACAAAATAATAACAATAATAATAAACATAAATAAACAATACAACAAACAACAATAAAACAATTGATTATTATTTATAATAAATAAATAAATAAAAACAATTTAATAACAAATATCAATTATTCAAATGCATTTATACACTTTAATATTATAATAATTAAAATGACAAAAATAAACTGAAAGAAGAAGAAAAAATCAATTAAAAATTACAAATAAATCATTGCAAAATAAATAAGCGAAATATTCTTATTCCTACAATGGCGAAATTGAACAATTTCTTTTTAATTATTTATAGTATCTTTATAAAATTAAATAAATTTACTCACTCTGTGTCAAACGTCTTCCATTGCATTCGAAAAAAGAAGTATTCAATCCTGAATCTAGTTTTTTCTTTATAACAACTGTTCGAAAGCGAGAGGTTTAGAACTCTTCAGTTATTTCAATTTAGATTGGGACGAAGCGTACGTTGAGTATAATTAGCAGACCTCATCTCTTGGAACCTTCATCTTAAGGAGATCTTTAGGAATTCCATATACAGATGATCTTTAGCTTATCTTTACAGGGTGAGATACAAAACTGCAACAAAGTCAAACGCCATAATTTTTACATTTTTGTTTAAATTTTATTGAATAAAAAAAAATGTGGGAAGTTGGATCAACTTTTAAAATAAGTTTAGATTTGTTCGAATTGTTTGCCTTTGGCATGAATTATGGCCTTCAAACCGCCAATGAAACCGTCACACGCTGTCCCAATGTTGCTCTGCGATATTTTGACCCATTCCCAGGGAAGCGCTTGCTTTAGTTGATCGACACTTTGGTATTTTTTAGTGCCAACTTTGCCTTCCAAAATACTCCAGACACAATAGTCCAACGGATTGGTATCCGGAGATTTTGTTGGTCATTGTGCGCTGGAAATGAACAGTGAAACCTCACTTTGTAGCCAATCTCGGGTGGCGCGTGCTGATTGCGATGGTGCCGAGTCCTGTTGACCGATAATATTCTGATGCCACCACGATTAATACGAGCGGAAAGCGACCATCGCACAGTGGTCGCTGCAATTGGCCAAAATTCAAAAAATGAAAATCAGATATTTATTGTCAAATGTGTACGTATGAACTCTTAAGAGGTTAAGCTTTTTAGAAAACATAATAATCTTGACTCCTTTTCTAACGGTACACTTCGAAATTAGCATCAAAAAAGAGAAAATGTAGTTAGTTGCTTTTTTCAGTGGGATCAGTAAAAAAAAGAGTAAAAATAGATCTGTATTAAAAAATTAAATACATTTTAAAATGACAACTCTTGGCATTATTATTGAAAAGCAAGGTATTGACTTATTTTTAGTGCAGTAATTTGTGTGTTTAGTAGTTGTGTATAATATAGACGATGTGAGTGTTCTGAGTGGCCTTTAAGATTAATTTTGAAAATAAAATTGGATTTCAGTTAAAGTTTTAATTGTCTTCCCCCCTGAATCCTCCAATGTGATTTTTTTCACGCCATTTGTAATGGTCCTAAGATTCTAGAAGTGCTAATTTAACTTTCAGATTTTGGCAGATTTGTATGTTATGCCCAATATACTGAAGTGACTTCGCTCCAATTTTGTCAGTTCTATGGTGCTAGTAACATAGGATATGTTATTGTTGTTTGGGATTGATAAGGATATAATTGAGGGGTGTTTAATAATGTTGCCTGCATTGTCTTCTGGGTATAATATTAATGTCGAAAAATTTAAGGACTCTGCACAGGAAAAGGCTAAAGAGTTAACAAATAGATATCCATGGCACTATCTTCCACCCGCAGCTAATAAAATGTTAATACATGCACCCGACATTATAAATTTGTCATTGTATCGATTGGAGAATTATAGGAGGTGGCCGTGGAGTCTAGAAACAAAGATATAAAAAAGTTTCGACTAAATCATACCCGAAAAAAATCTCGTGTTTCAACAAACACAGATCTTATTAACCGTTTTCTTCTGAGCTCTGACCCTTTTATAACGGGACAGCGAACGTTACCAATCAATAAAAAATCTATATTATTAAAATCTGCATTTGATTTACTTGAATAACACTGAAATTTATAAATATCCATTAGTAACTTTGATTTAATTTTATATTGAATTGTTTATTTTGTTTACAGAAAAATTGTCTATTTTGTTTACAAAAAAATAATCAAATTTGGAATTGATTTGTATAAAAAATACCTCTATTTTTGAAGGTACCTTTACAGGGGGACTCTACCTAAAGGCGGGCCGTTCCAAATAATTTTCAGTAAGACTATTTTTTAGCTCTTTTGAACGTAAAATGTCAATTAACAGAACAATCTAGTGTAGAAATGTGACAAAAATTGGGCAAATAACCTTTATTCGGGAGGTACGTTTTAAGGTGACCATGCCGAAACATGCATCGACCATATCCATTTTGTCACATTTTTTATTTTTATCCCATCAACCATATTGATATCTGCACTGAAAGTATTTTTGGACGCTGTTCCCATACGACGTCGACCACTGTGCATCGGCTGTTATGGCGATATAGATACCTTTTTTTGGCGGTAATAGTATCTAAGTTAAAATCGCATTGATGATGCCAAAAGATAATGGCTGAGCATTGCTACGGTCGATGCCACCAGTCGGAACTTGAGGACTTTTGCCTGATGTCGCTGCTGTTGTGTTCACTATAAACAGAACATAGTGAACATATAAACATAACATTCCTTTTTAATAGTCTCCAACATCCTTTAGGGATTATATTATTAAGTTTGTCATTCCTTTTGTAACTCCTCGAAATAAACGTCCGTTTGTTAATATCACAATAAAACCCGACAATGCTTATTAATCTCGACAGATGGCCATTTATGTATACCCTTCGTGGGGAAATGACCAGAAAGAAGGATCTACATATCACATATTCATTGGAGACGTAAAGTTGGTAGAAAATGTTGGACGCTCGATGTTTGAGGAATATCGGACATTAATTTCACACCTCCCTAGCGATATTATTCAAAATGTTCACCATTTGAAGTAAAGATACGCTGGCGAATGGGTCAATATTGTCCATAATCGCACCTGACCTAAGTTGTTTATACATTAAAATGTGGAAAGTTTGAACTATTTCGGGCATTCTTACTTAGCAACATTTTGAGTTTGATTTTTGGGGGGGGAAATAGCAGAAGTAGTAAACAATACCGGCCATCTCCCATCTCTCTCGAGAGCTATCGTGTGCACTAGCCGGACGGGTATATCTAGTTCAACTCCAAATGTTCTGATACGGATTTTTTCGAAAGAGATGTAAAATATAAAACCATCCAGATAATGTAGACATTTTTTAAGGATTAGAACGCGCGGGAACTCCGGAGTTTCGTTACTTTCTCCAAACTGTTTAAAAATAATTATTTAGTTTTTCGTTATTTACGTTTTTCAAATTATAATTGATTGTCAACATTACTTTTTAGTTTCTATCACAACAATGTTTTTTTTGTAAAATTTTAGTTGTTGTAGCTGATGAATTGGTATACAAATGCTGTCAGATACGAAATTAATGAACAAGAAAAATGTAAATAGCATTAAGTTTTACAATTAGGAAAATAATTTCTTAATATAATAGGTTATATTTATATACTCCAATATTACTAAGGGTGTATCCATAAAAATATCCGATTCAAGCATTTTTTTCGTTTTTCTTCTGGACTATAAACAAACAAATCGCTTGGTCTACAAACGCTTTAACATGCCACGTACAACTGACCACGTAAAAAACGGGAACGTGTCAAATTTAGTCCGCATACACGAAGAGTTTGGCCTTACGATTAATTTATTGTCATCGCGAATGTCGAGCATAGGGGAACCTGCAATCTGCTTGCCACACCCAAATCTAAGCCGATCTCATTATTTCATTGTCAAATTTAATTGAAATTCGACATACCTAGCGTGTTTTGTGCATAAAATACATGAAATCGCGAGATATAGCCAAATCTGAATCGATTTCAACATAATTTGACAAATAAAGTTTTAGGCCAAATTCTACCATACCTTCCAAATTTCTTCTCAATATAATTTTGTAATTGGTATTTTTCCACATGGTTTATTAACAGTTTCCTGAATAAATAAGTTTGAATGCTATTAGTATACTTCTTAATCAAACGTGTATCATATACTGGGATTTGAGTAACGCTTTAGTGTTGTAAGTAACGCGAAGTGTTTTTTTTCAATTATTCCAAACTCTTTCATTACAGTTGGAGAATCTGGGAGCCATATTGGAAATGCGAACATTAAAACAGACCCAATGCTAGTTTTGCTATTAATAATTCTAACAAATGACTCCTAAATACCACATACCTTACCTATGTAGACTCGCGCATTTCCATTAAATTGAAAAATATATTCAAAACATCCAAATATTTGAATCTATCTCTGAATGATATTTCTACAATCCAAAGGACTTTCTTTCTGGCACAACCCTTCACTTATATTTTCCTGAAGCGTTCCTCAAACACATCAACTTCCGTATTACAAGTATTTATTTTTTTATATTTTGTCATTATTTTATATTGCACGAACTGTTTTCAACATAGGTTACAAACGTTGTATTCCAGAATCTGCAAATAACTACTTATTATTTTTTTTAATTCTTGCATAGGGCAAGAACAGAGCTAATATTGATTTGTAAATTTTTTATTATTTTTATACCGGCTATATGCCTAATCGAAATAACGGCATTAGACCCTAGGTCTCACTTTGATCTGGCAGTGTCCGTCCGTTCGTCTGGTTGGTCACACATCCCATATTTCTATCAACACAATATCTAGTGTGATGATGGAATATAGCGGTCGACTTCTTCTGTTACCTTGGCCATAAAGGGTCAATACAAAATAAACATCTGATTCTTTTTCTTGGAAGATGGTAGAGGTCGGACCACTCCTAGGGTACCTTGTCCATAACTGGTAAACATTTGCATTCCAATAACCTACATTAATTGTAAAATGAACGTATGAATCCTCTGAAAGTCCCAATATTTCTACCAGCACAATATCTGATGTGAGTATGGAATTTATTGGTTAACTTCTTCTGGTACCTTCCCCATAAAGAGTCGATATTTTGAATAATTATAAAAATAAAGTATACACATATCTCATAGCTAAAGTTGATAGAGTCCAAACCTGGCACTTCATAATATTTTTATTAGACTTATCAATTATAGACTCGTATTAATATTTTACATATCAACACCTGGAGGTACATTTTGTATTAATCAATTCAGCTGGAAGATGGAACAAAGACATTCAAAGTTACTTAATCGGCTGACACAGTTACTAATTTCATATGGACAATTTCAATCAAACAATCCCAAACTACTTCCTTCCTACAGAAAATGTTCCAACATGCACATGTTCCAACAACAACATTCATGGTACAATGAAATAACGGCAACCTCATTTCAAATTAGCATTCCCAGCTCTGCGTTTTCTGTAATTTACCTTGTCAAATTTCAATGCATCGGATTTTGTGTGTATACAATGGATTTTTGAATATAGATTTTGACAATGAGATGTATTTATACATTTGACAACATCTCATTGTCAAATTTGAAAACAATTGTAAACATATGATTGCATGACTTTACCTTCTTAGTTCTACCATGCTTATATTTTAAAAGGTCATAAAAATAAATAAAAACCCCTTTGGAGTTTTGCTTTTCTGAACTAATAGCAAAAACGCCACAAAAAAATTATAACACGCCACACCAAATCGAAATTAATGAAATCAGGGTGAGATGAAAAAACTGCAACCAACTTCAGACTGCTGTCATTTCTAAGCCACTCGTCCGACAGCTGTTAAAATTATTCCAGTGACAGTTCATTGTATTGTTTATAAGCGTACAAAAGCATTTTGCCGAGAATTTTCCAGAAAAAAAAAACAGTAAAGAAAGTCATAAAGTCGGGCGGGGCCGACTTTATGATACCCTACACCACTTTGCTAATTTAGTTGAGCTCCACATAACAATTGAAAGTTTTTATGGGAGAATTTAATCATACACGCTATGATTATAATTATAATTTAAAGTTCAAAGGACTAAATATGCCGAAGCATTTGTATCTTTCAAATTCGGACTTGTATTGCCCATTTGGTGCACAATTAATTTGAAATCAGATAAAGATATATATGGGAGCTATATCCAAATCTGAACCGACATCGATAAAATTTGGCAAAGATATTTCTGAGCTGTATTTGATATATTTCCCTGAATATCGTTGTTAGGGAGTGCATCTTACGACTGTGGGTAACAAATATAACAAATCGGATGATATATGGGAGCTATAGCTATATCTGAACCGATCTTCACCAAATTTGGCATACTACCTTCTAGACTCAATTCGGTCGTATGTGCAAAATTCCATCCCACTTGGGCAAATATTATACGTTTGGTGCACAATAAAAGGTAAATCGAACCAAGTTATAAATGGGAGCTATATCCAAATCTGAACCGATCTCGATAAAATTTAGCAAAGGTATTTCTGAGCTGCATTTGATATATTTCCCTAAATATTGTTGTTACAGAGTGCATATTACGGCTGCGGAGGACAAAAATAACAAATCGGATGAAGAATATGTATGGGAGCTATAGCTATATCTGAACCGATTTCGACCAAATTTGGCATACTTATTTTCAGGCCCAATTTTGTTGTATGTGCAAAATTCCATACTATTCGGGCTGATACTACACGTTTGGTGCACAATAAAAAGGAAATCGGACGAAGATATATATGGGAGCTATATCTAATTTTTTACCGATTTTCATAAGTCCGATTTCAATAGGGTTCGTCCTTGGGTCCAACAAATGTTGTGTGGAAAATTTCATCTCAATCGGATAATAAATGCGACCTGTATTTTATTCACAAGAATACATGGACAGATGGACTGGTATGCATAAATCAACTCAAAAAGTGATTCTATGGAGATCCTCACAAGTAACTATGGGTCTATCTCGCTTCCTTCTCCATGTTACAAACAAATGCACACAGACAAAATACCCTTACCACTATGTGGTGTAGGGTATAAAAACGTTATTCGTGATGGAATTCAAGCGTGATAGTGTGATTTCTTTATATTTGGCTGGAAAACCGCAAGTGGCTATCGTTAGAGTACTCCAGCATTTAAAGGTGAATAAATTTTTTGTATCTCGTACCATCGCTCGTTACCGTGATACTGGTAGCGTAGCCCGACGTCAAGGAAGTCGACGGAAGAAAACAGCAAAATCAGTAGACATAGCTCGAAAAGTAAAGAAGCGACTTTATCGAAACCCGCGTCGCAGTGGCCGAAGAATGACTCGTGAGCTGAATATATCGCAATATTCCATTCCAATATTGAAAAATGAGCTCGGGGTAAAGCCAAGTACTTATACCGCAACAGAAAGAAAATAGACTCAAAAGAGCTAAAGAGTTGCTACGCTTGGCCGAAAGTGGTGAACTGCTGAAAACATTTGTTGTCCAGCAGTTTGTAAACAAACAATATTATCGTGTTTACTTGCCAAAGAGGTCAGCTGAAAATGTGCATGTCGCTCTCCGCTCGTAATAATCGACCGTGGCATCAGAATAAATGCCGAATATTATCGCGAAAATATTCTGGATGGTGTATTAAAGCCTTGGGCACGCAAACATTTTGGCCAGAGACCTTGGACATACTCAGCACCATCGCACTCAGCACGCGCCACCCAAGAATGGTTACAAAATGAGGTTCTTCGCTTCATTTCCAGGGCACAATGGCCACCAAAATCTCCGGATACCAATCCGTTGGACTACTGTGGCTCTAAAAAATAACAAAGTGTCGATCACCTCAAGCAAGCGCTTCGCCGGGAATGGGCCAAAATACAGCAGAGCAATATTAGGGCAGCGTGTGACGGTGTCATGGGCCGTTTGAAGGCCATAATTCGTGCCAAGATCACCAATTCGAACAAATCTAAACCTATTCTAAAATTTGATGCTATTTCCGACATTTTTTGCTTTCATTCAATAAAATTAAAATTGTGGTTTTATTTATTTCACCCTGTACACCATATTATGGAGGGTAGATTAAGTTTGCCATTCCGTTTGTATCTCGAAATAGACATTTCAGACCCCACAAAGCGCATATATTCTTGATCTGCATAGAATTCTATGTCGATTCAGCAATGTCCGTCCGTCTGTCCATCCAAAATTTTTGGTATTGAAAATGGGCATATATTTTATATATATTACTGTACCGCCATGGGAAGATTAAAACAAACTGTATGGGGAAGACAAGTAAAACCACTGACCCAAAACAGACCAGAATGGAAAAGTATCACAACACCGTCTTGCTAACTCTTTCAAAAAAGCCTACATTTTGAAATACTTACCGGAGTTGATCCAAATTTGGCACACGTCGTACATAATATAGCAACAAGTAATTGGGTGTGTGTATGTGTGTTTATTTTTTTTAAACATTCATGTATTATGAGAGTGCGTGTAGTACACAAAAAAATGAATCTTATAAAGAATGTACAAAAAACGGAAATCTAAATTTTAAGATACAAACGTTTCTTAAACCTAAAACTTTTGCACAGTTCAAAAAGTTATGATTTGGGCTTTCGATTGAACTCTTTATTCTGGGAATTGCCTTCACACCGACACCTCAACAGATTCCAATAGGCTTGACGATATTCCGACGACATCAGAACGTATATAATCGGATTGATACAGGTCGTCAAGTAGACCAACAAATAGCCGCTTATATTGAAGATGTGGTTATCGGATAGTCCTTTCCAGATTTTCGTCAGCGTTATGGGCAAATAGCAGATTACGAACGAAACAAATATAACCAGGATCATTTTCAAAAGACGACGATCCTTTTGACTCATACGGCCTGGATAAATTGCCGAGGCGTTTGAGGTGTTGACCATAGAGACGTAATGATTTGTTCGGGGACTGAAACGGGTAAACGACGTCCTTATGGAGGTTTTAATGGGGTTTTTAGTTCTACGAAAAACAAAACGATAATATTGGTTAGCTTATGTTGGCATTAAACATTGTATGATTTGAGAACTTACCGAGAAGTGGTATCCTTTGCTGGAGTCGTAGCAGGTTTTTGTTGAGACTGATTGGATTTATCGGTATCCTGTAAAATTGAGAACATTGTCATAGCATAATCAATAAAATAATTGCAGGAAATACATTAAAAATCTTTGGTTATGGATATTTGTACTTATGTGTACTAAATGGTACCACATTTCGTACAAATTGGAATTGGGGTGGACCGATAGAACTGGAATCCTGAAATTTACAATGAGAGGCACTGATGGAGTGCAGAATAGATGTTCCCAAGGGGTTTTGGAAATTCAAACTTTAAGGTTTCGAAAAGTTCTAAAATAGTACTAAACTTCTAAAATGGTACCCTTTGGTATTATGTGAACGGTAGCCCTATCCGTTACATTCGGTATGAGGATCATGGTGGGAAAGTATATCAATGAAGGTGGTTTTGGAACTGCGTACTAAATGTGCGAACTATACAAAATGGTACTAAATTTGGAATTTTGTATTGGAATCCCTGTTGGTGGTAGGTTTGTTTAACACATGCCCACTCTACAAATGCACGAAAGCACTAAATGGTACTATATTTGGTACAATTTGGTACTGGGTGAACAGATAGTTCTAGAAGTTTGTAATTTGTTTATATTAGGGTCGCTGTGATTTTGGAAGTGTGTATTATAACTGTACTAATGGTACTAAATTTGGAAATGGGGAAAATTACAGAGCGAATTACTGAAATTTGATTTTAAAATTACTGTTGGTATCTGAGTATTAGATTTGGAGGTGGGTTTGGAGATTCGTTCGAAAAGTACTAAATTGAATTAAATTTGGTATACTCTTGGTGTCTGTGATTACGATGTAGCTTTGATTTGGAAATGCTTCCAATTTTTGTGGAAAAATATTGTGTGGTACTATATTTAGCATTGGGTGCAGGAATAAAACTGAAATCCTGAAATTTGATATTAAGATTACGAATGGGATCTGTGTTTGAGATATGGAGGTGATTTAGGAAATGTGTACTATAATTGTATGAAAAGTACTAATTAGTACTAAATATAGTGTTGGGTGAAGAAATAGATATAGCCACACATTCTGGATTTCATTGGTATCGGTCATATATATCGTGTTTGGTGCATAACATGTATGAAATCGCCGAAATATATATGTAAGCTATACCCAAACCCCAACTGATTTCAATATAATTTGAAAATTTTTTCTGGTGCCAGATTTCGTCTCTCAAATATGTGAAATCGGCCGAGATTATATATGAGAGCTATAATCAAATCTGAGCGTATTTGAATATAATATATAATATATATATAATATATAATATATATATATAGAATATAATTTGTCAAATTTATTGTTGTACCAAATGAAGTCACTCATGCCGAATCGGAAATACGTATCGTGTTTGTGCATCAAATATGTGAAATCGGAGGAAAATATATATGGGAGCTATATCCAAATCTGAACCGATTTTAATATAATATAACTAATTTATTTTCTATTCAAAATCCCGTTACATATTCCAAATTTCTTTGGAATAGAACATACGTATCGTGTATGGTGCATAAAATATATGAAATCGGTCGAAAAAATATATAAGAGCTATATCCAAATCTGAACCGATTTCAATTTAATTTGACAAATTCATTTTGGCTCCCAATTCCGTTACTTATTTTAAATTTCATTACAATTGGAAATACATATCGTGTTTGGTCCACCAAATACATGAAATCGGCCGATATGGGAGCTATATCCAAATCTGAACCGATTTCAATATAATTTGGGAAATCGATTTCTCAAATAAAATCCATCACACGTTTCAAATTTCATTGAAATTGGGGATACATAGCGTGTTTGGTGCATCAAATGCTTGAAATCGGTCGAAAATATATATGGGAGCTATATCCAAATCTAAACCGATTTCAATATAATTTGACAAATTTATTTTCGGATCAAATCCCGTCACACATTCCAAATTTCATTGGAATCGAACATTCACATCGTGTTTGAGACATCAAATGAACGAAATCGGTCGAAAATATATATGGGAGCTATATCCAAATCTGAACCGATTACAATATAATTTGGCAAAATTATTTCTGTTACAAAATCCGTTACGCATTCCAAATTTGGAGACTGCATCTGTAATCGATCTATAGATATGTGCATATAAAATCTACATTTTTGGGAGGTACCTCCGATTCGGATGCTATATCTCCAGTTCCAAGTGGAATTTCAAAAATGTATATAGCCTATGTTACTTTCAGGCGATGTTGCAGTATACATAGAAATTTTCAGGAAAATCTGTTCAGCGGTTTTCGAGTCCATAAATTACAAACAAACAAACAAACATACAAACATTTTCCTCTTTTATAGATATAGATTTATACTCTACTTATACTCATGGTACAATAAAACAAGTAAAAACACATTAATTTCGTCCGGGCCAAACTTTTAACACCCTCCACCTTAGGGTAAAGGAAACATTAGAAGAAATGTGGCAAAAACTATTAAAATGCCGAATATCGGGAGGTACCATTATATGAGGGCTATACCAAATCGTGGACCTAGACATGCTATGTTTCGCCAAAGGAGAACCCATTATGACCTACAAATACCAATTTTCAGACAAATCCGTGAAAAAATGTGGCAAAAATCATCAAATATCCGAACATCGGGACGTACCGTTATATGGGGGCTATACCAAAACGTGGACCTATAATTATAATGACTCGCCACACGAACTGGGGCCCATTATAATCTACAACTACCAATTTTCAGAGAAATTATTGAAAAAAATGTTTAAAAAATCATCAAAATACCGAATATTGGGAGGTACCGTTATATGGGAACTATATCAAAACGTGGACCTATACATACAATGTTTCGCCACACGAACTAGGACCCATTACTACCCACAAATACCAATTTTTAGACAAATCAGTGAAAAAATGTGGCAAAAACCATCAAAATTCTGAATATCGGGAGGTACCGTTATATGGGGGCTATACCAGAACTTGGGCCGATATATCATCATTTACAATACTAACCATCCTAGACACAATACAAATTGCTCTGCTAAATTTTGGCGCTCTACGTCAAATAATATGGGCTGTATCGTGATTTCAACAGACAGATAGACGGACATCTTTTTCATTTAAATCGACTTAGAATTTTATGCTGATTATGAATATATATACTTTATGGGGTCTACGACGAATATTTAAGGATGTTACAAACGGAATGACAAAGTTAATATACCCTTCTTTCCAAAGTGGAGGGTATAAAAAGGTAAGAAAGAGCTAACAGCTGATTACATTTTTTTTCTAAGTGTGCCCGACTCCTGCCAATATTGTGTATGTATTTATTGTTTTCAAAAAAAAAAAAAATAAAATAGTTTCGAAATCAATGATTGTTCCATGTTTACCATGCTGATCAAAACACTTATTTTGATTGGAATCCTAAGGTTCGTTCGTTTACTTTCCCAGCAGCATTTACTCCCTAAGAAGTAACTGAGAAAAAATACAACTTCTTTTCTCTCGAGAGTAAAAATTGTAAAAATTAGACGAAGAGCATCATTTGTAAGATAACAGCTGATCCATCAAAACAACTTTGGGGCAAACCTTAACAGCAGAAATATTTTGATGCAGTTTCTTTGTTTTTACTTTTTCATTACAGAAAAAAAAAACAAATAATAAAAATATATAAACTCTTTCCATGCACAAAATATCTTCAACAAAAAAAAAAAAACATTTTACTCCTGCATGTCCATGGACAATGGTGTTCCACGGTTGGCTATGTTTTTAGCTGGATTTGACAATAGATCATCATCCACTCTTAAACTATTTTTTTCCTCTTAATTCACGTTTTCTTTGTCCATTTTTTTAATAAGTTTTATTATTATTTTTTTTTTCTTCAAAAAATTAACCAATCTAATTTTGTTTGTTTACAAAACAACTCATTATTTAACAGCTGATGTTACTGAATGACTCCTACTGGAGAAATTTTCCCAGTAAGAATTTCCAAACTTTCAGAAACTCTATTTCATTTCGCTCTACTTCACTGGACTTAAACAAATTTTGACATTTCGTCTTATTTTGGTTTATGATCTTATTTTTGCACCATAATGCCTATATTATTTATACTATATAAAATTGGATATACGAAAAGGTCCGCAATGTAACGTTGTTTTTCTTCAGCTAGTGCTTATTTCATGAATGGCAACACTTAGCTCATGTCTGATTTAAGCCGAAGCCAGGATCAATGTTTTGTGCCCTGTTTTGGAGTTCAACCGCAGAGCAGGGGCCGTATTCTGTAACTTTTTAACAACTTTACTCAATATTTATTTTTTATACCCTACACCACAAGGTGGTCAGGGTATTATGTCTTTGTGCATTTGTTTGTAACAGGCAAAAGGAAACGAGATCACATTCTGAGTCGATTTATGCATGTCCGTCCGTCTGTCCATGTATTTTTGTAAACAAAGTACAGTTCGCATTTATTTCCCGATCCAGATGCAATTTTGCACAAATCATTTGTTTGGCCCAAGAACGAACCCTATTGAAATTGGAGATTATCGGTCAAAATTTAGATATAGCTCCCATATATATCTTCGTCCGAATAGTATAGAATTTTGCACGTACGATCAAATTGGACCTGAAACTAAGTATGCCAAATTTGATCGAAATCGGTTCAGATGTTGCTATAGCTCCCATATATACTGTTCATCCGATTTGTTATTTTTGTCCTCCGCAGCCGTAATATGCACTCTGTAACAACAATATTTGGGGATATATATCAAACTAGCTGAACCCGGTGCGCTTCGCTACCCCTTTTGATTTTATATGCATTCAAAATTTTATTTACGAATATATGTTGGATAAAGAAAAACAAATTTAAAAATTAAAAAAATATTGCACTAATTTAATGCGTTAATAAACAAAATCATTACAAAAGCAGTAACATGACATGCATACACGAAGGGTTTGTCCTTTGGATTTATTTATTTCATAGCAAATACCAAGCGTGCAGGAAACTGCAATTTTTTTAAGTAGAGTGGTTTTTCTATTGTAATTAGTG